AGATGAATTTACACAACTTTCAGAAGAATTCCTCTGGAATTGGTATTTCATCCAATCTATTGGCCGGGGTTCTCCTTAATCGCTCATCTCGTGACGGTTTCTTAATATCGATAATGCATTGTAACACTTAATTGAATTTCTATTGAACACATATTTTGTTGACCTCTTTGAATCCACGGCATCCACTCGGAAGTTATTTGGTAGAAAGTCAACAGAGCCCGGCAGGAAACAGACAGTTATAAGGGGTTGAGTTACAGAGAGAGAACGAAAGTCGATTATTTGGAAATCCCAAACATAAACGAAGGACTAATGGGCCATCGGTCATATTTAGCGACTTAACTTCTTCTGGTGTCTTTTATGTTTTTATGATTGCCACTGTTTAATCACGAAAGGTTTTATCTCATATTTCCCACAAATAGCACGGCCCTGAACGAATGAACTGATTGGCTCCTTGTTCATTGTGTTTTTAACTTAACTAGACTAAGGCCACTGCTGCACGTGCATGTGTATACTGATCTATACTGAATGTGGAAACTTGAAAAAAAAAATGTATTGTTAGGACCCCCCCCCCAATACTTGGATTAACTGATGTATCTTTAACCTTAATGTAGACGTAAAGGCAACATATTTTGATATGAAATATGTAACAGACAACCAAGACATACGTAAAATTATAAACCCATTTTTTAAATTAAAAAAAAAAAAAACAATATTCATACATAGTTGCATAATGCCACTTAATTGTAATATGTCTGCGTGGAAGAAGAAATCCATCCATCGTAGATTTATCGGTTCAAAAGAATACTGGGGATCGGAAGATTATTGGTAATGGGTTCAAATCCCATTTGCGACTGACTTAAGTCGGTAAAAAAAATAGGCACCAAATGTCCATTCGCCAATCGCTCGGCACTTTGCTGTGAAATGAAGGATATTGAGATAACGAAAAGTATTCAATATCAAAGTCCATAAAACAATACAAAATAGGAGCAGAGCAAATTCGGACCTCTAAAACAGAGGTGGGATCAGGTGTCATGGAGGCGTGAGCATCCCCTGCTGACCGGTCACACCCACCGTGTGCTCCTTGTCATGATGGGGAAATAACGGAAAATCCGTCGTCAATTCAGTGTATAAATTATGGACAAACAATAAGTATGAAAAACGTCAGTCAGCATTTGACGCAATGATAAATTGTATTTGCTGACAAAGTCATTGTATCGACCATAGAACTTACGAAATGATGACTTTAAACGAGACTGCTGATATTCTTGTTTCATCAACTTGTTTGTCAATAATTTACCTGTCAGAGCAGGCGTTGACCAGATAAAGATAAGTACATCACTGCTTATTCAACCTGTGCAATGTACTTTGTTTAAAAGGACTTTAAATAAGTTTAGGAACCCAATATAAGTAAGGTAGATCGAAATCATATTGGTTGACTGGAATATTAAAAGAATAAACACTAAAATGTGGTTTTAAAAGATATCTTCCTTGGAAAGTGAACTATTAGTAAATATGTTGGATAGTATATCTTTTGGATTTCCATTCGTAGAATTATTAACTATAATACCATGTTCTTCCAATTAAAACTTAGAGAAATGCGCTTTACAAACAACAACAGCTAGAACTATAACATTTTATTCATGTAGTCTCTCTAACTCTTTGGTTTAGTCTTGGCGAAGTTTTTTTGGATGGAAAACCTTAAGAAAATGACGACAGAGTGAAAACGGAATTGGATACGTCGGATTGGCAACTCAGTGGTAGAGAACCCGTACAGTAAGCGAGAGGTCTAGGATTCGAGTTCCCGTCCGGACATTTTCCCCGCCTGTTACAAACCTGTTAATAGGAAGCCTGTGTGTTCTGTATGTTTTCCAAAGGTGTGCTTGTGCCTCCGTAATTATAAGGTTTTATGTATTATATTTTGACTGAACGTAAACTTGACTTTTTTAAAAATTTGATTTCCAAATAAGGCCGAAGGAAGAATGCAAATATGGAAATAAAGGTGGTTATTTCTCCTTCTTCTTTTGAAAACTAAACTAATCATGAAATTGATTTCATTGCACAATTACAAACAATGCTGTTTACGTTATAGATATCTCCAGGTTTAATATAACATGTTGATATTTCAGTCATCAATGTACTTAAACCAATTTAAGATTTAAAATAGCATTAAAATAGCAGTAAAAAGTATATTCGATCTTTGTGCAAACAATTGACATTAACTTTAAAAGATAATGATTCAATTTACACATCTGTTCCCCTGAGGTTTTCAACACCCGGAAACATCCCAGTCTTTTATTCTCGACAGAGTATTACCTGACACTTCGGGGTTTATAAGGCCCATAATCATAAAGGGATTTTTACTTATAAAAATAGCTTCATTTGTTTTAGGTGAAAGACATTATGTGTGTTGACTCTACGTAAAGGTCGATTCAGCAGAAAAGGGAATGTTATTATCGTTGTATACCCTGCAATATCTGTGCCACATCTATTAATGGGGTACATGGATGGCGATAAGAACAGCATTTAAGCTCAAAAGTCCATCAAACAATATAAAATTGGAGCAGAGCAAATACAGACCTCCGAAAAAATCAGAGGTGGGATCAGGTGCCATGTTCGTGTGTTACTAGTAGTTATTACTTGTCTCTATTGCATATAGATTTTTGTATGCCCTTCTCAGAACTCATTTTAAAGCGTTCAAATATAAATCTCAAGAAATCTTAGTGTATAAAAACTTAGTGAGTGGAATAAATAACATTCCTGGGACACATTCTTATACGAGGGCTGTTCAATAAATAATGTCCTGAACTCTGTGGCATACAACATAGTAATCATAACATTAAGCTTGACTTTCTCTCATTAATGAATCTTTAATGAATTGAAAACAGTTTATGTGACCAATTTTCATCTCATAGTTTCACAGTGAGAAGCTGGGAAACAAGGGCTATTAGAGACACAGCATTAAAAATGAACGGTAAAGAATCAGTAAACAAGAGTGAAAATAATTGCTTTATTAAAACTGTTGTAAAACTCGTTAAGAATCCCAAAGAAATTTTCAATGAAATATGTGAAATTTACAGCAACAAATGTCTGTTCTATGGACATGTGAGCTGGTTCATTTCAATGAATAAAAATTATTTAATGGGCATTAAAAATGGGTACCGTCCTTGGCGACAAGTACTTACAACCAATTTACTTTGTTGCCAAAATTCAACAAATGATCACTAATGATGTTTGATTGACTTTAAGACACATAGCAAATTTGATAGGCATTACTTTGGGGGTCGTTCACACTTTTTTAAAAGAAACAAACGACAGGGTGTAAGAATATCTAAACAATTAGTTAAAAAAATTCAGAAATTGTAGTTATCCACGTTTGTCTGAAATTCAAACAGATAATGAAACTTGAATCCATTGCCTAAAACCCTCAAAACAAATTTACAGTAAGATGCACTTGACAAAAACAGCAAAGGTCTGAAAAGAGCAAATAATTTCAAGAGCACCAAGACAGTTTTATAAGCCATTCTCTTAAATATTAGTGGTCTTCTTGTTCAAAGTCTTATTCGGGGAGGCAGTTCAATTTGTGGAGAAGTCAAGAAAGCAAAAATTTTGCCAAAAAATCGAAAGGTTTGTAAGAGGAAGGAACCTGAATCAGCATTCCACCAGATTGAATTTCTTCATGACAGCGTCCAAACCAACACGCCCTGAAGAGTAAAGGAGATTTTGGGATAAACTGATCGTACTCAAAGCAAGTTGGGAGGTATTAACACTATAAACAGGTGATAGTGGAATATAACTACATAAATAAGGAGAGCTGAAGTCATACGATTTAGTTGTTAGTTGTTAGCCTGTATGGTTTAAAAGATCTAAATATGAAATGGATGGTACAGACTCTGTAATATCTTTAATTACGAGTTTACTGGTACATATCACGTCGACATACGACTGAAAATAACTATCGTTAATTGATTAAACACAGTCGCTATTTCTGAATTTAAGTCAACAGCTAGTGTAGATTTTTTTCAATAAATTCTGCTGAATGAACCGTCTAGGTATTTTTCGTTTTCTCGGTCATGACAAAGACAGCAAAAGCGAGTAGGACTGGTAGACAGGTATGTTTACGCCTCCATGGCACCTGATACAAACTCTATTTTCGGACATCCGTTTAAATGGATTTCTAAGAATGACCACTTCGTGATCTTCACAAACCATTAAGTTCTCGAGTAAATTTCACATTTAATGTCCCTAAACTGTTTTCATTCATCAATTTATCAAAACATGCAATTTTTTCTGCTACATTTCCCTTAATAACGCAACATTCGTGTTTATTTGTGATTTTTGCATCAATTTATGAATTTTTTGCCACTTAACTTGAATGTATGCATTTGCTCGAAAAACCCAGAGATAATATTTTCTATTATAAAATGAACGCAGAGTGTAGTTTGTTTATTCCGATTCAAGTGTATTACAGCATTAACAAACATGCGATGTAATAATCTGCAAAATAAAGAAAATGTCAGTTTCGAATATTTTAACCAAAACGAATTTGAATTATCATATCCATATATCTATAATTTAGTCCGAAACTTCATAAAAATCCTTATACACCGCGGGTTCCAGTAAATGTTCCACTAAGTCATTTTCTTTACTCCTCTCTAAAATATTAACATTAGTGAAGGTGAAACTTTAGGAATACTGTACAAGAATATATTTGAGAAGTGGTGTAAATCAGATATGGGTTTTTGAAAATTCCAAGTAACTTTTGGAAAATTTCAAATCACAATATTTTACCGTGATCAATAACATAAAAGACAGCCTTTTTTCAGTACAAATG